TCTAAGTGCGGGTCCTCTCTGAACTTCAGCTTCTTCATGTATAAATAAAATAGTGAATATAAAATATTTACATGGACATTGAACGTAGCAGCTGTTACTATTTCTACCCTGCCTCTTATACATTTATTGACCTAAAATCAGGAAAGAAAAGTCACAAATGCCCTGACGTTACAGGGGCTGAAGTTATACAAGGCAGACACCGTATAAGAGCCTCGAAAGGTTCAGCATGGCAATCTTCAGAACTGTATGAAAGTTCACGTGTAGGAGGACCCTTGTCAGCGTTCCATGACGATAAAAAAGTTTTGAGCAGAAGTTATATTTCATGCAGGCCTCGCTAAGAAAGTCAGAGAAGTACCCCAGGCAGCCCGCCCTCTATCCGGCAGTCTGACGCTCAGAATTACCATTTCCCTGTGAAAAGGCAAACCTCTAGAGGAATTTTTAGATCATGCAGCACATTTTAGAACTTCTTCCCTCTGAATGCAAAATTCCATCCTGGCACAGCGTGAGAGCAGGGCTTCCGATGAAGCTCATGGGAGTGTTTATATCGCTGAGTGTTTCTCTATTTCTCAATTCTTGGAAATGCCCCACAAATGTGATCAAAATTGCTGCCCCGTTTGCGCCAGCTTCCATTTGCCTGCTTGCCTCCTCTCATCCCCTGTTCCCGTGAGCTTTCGGGAGACGGTTCTCAGACCTCCCTCCACTCGGCCAAGCTGGGCTCTGGCGCTGGGATTTCCACAGCATCACAGCAATGAGTTTTGAGCACCTACTGTGTGCCAGGTGCCATGCTTGGCACCCAGGATTTATCACCAGGAACGAGACAGACACTGTCCTCCCGGCTCGCCTCCCAGAACACAAGCAAGGGGCCTTCTAGGCCGAGGGTATCATTTAGCTTGTAACCACGTGAAAACCCCAAAGCTTCATGGCTTAAAACAACAAATCACCTACTGTTGTTCATGACCCTGCGGATCAGCCAAGCAGTTCTGCTGTTCTGGACCAAGCATGGTCAATCTTGGCCGGGCTCATTCGAGCAGCTGTGGTCACCTGGAGGGCTGGCTGGGGACTGGCTGGTTGGCCCTCTGTTGGCTGGGCAACAAGGGTGACTGGGCCATGGGCCTCTTAGCATCCAGCAGGGCTAGTAGGGCTTGGTCACACGGAAATGCGGACATCGTGGTATAACATCACTCCCACCATATTCCATTGGTCAAAGCAAGACACAAAGCCAGCTGAGATTTAAGGAATGTGGGAGGAATTGCAAAGTCTCATTGCAAATGCGCATGTTCGTGGGCAGGAGTGCAAAATTGGAACCAGTCTTGCATCAGTTTAACACACATCGAAGAAACACAAAGGGAAATGCCCAGATACCAGCATATAGCCCATTCCAAGAGCCATGGTGTGGTTGGAATGTGGGATTCAAGAGGAAAAGAGGCTCCGTAAGTCAGACTGAAGAACTCAAACTTTCACCCAAGGGCAGTGGAGAGCCATGAAGGGTGCTAGGCAAAGGAGTGAGGTCCAATTTCACTTTAGAACACTTTGATGGCCACAGCCTCCCTCAATGATAGAGAGTCCTCTGGGAGAATCCCAACAGTGAGGAGACTACATAGTGAAAAACACAAGTCTGTTTAAAACGGATCCCCTCTAAATCCTATGCCTTCCTCAGAGTTAACCATTGCTATTACCCTAGTATGAATCCTTCCAGACCTCTGTGCCTTCACACACACACACACATACACATGAGTTTTGTCTTCTCAGAAGTGGGAACATATTCTACAGACACATTCTGGTTTGTTCATTTTCACTGCTGTATACTATTCTACTGTGCAATAGACCACAATTTACTCCTCTATTCTCCACTTGATGGGCATCTAGGCTGTTTCGAATTTTTGCTGACATTGCAGTGAACGTCCCTGTATGTCAGCGTAAAAGTTTCTCTCAGATTTATACGCAGGGTGAAATGGGTGGTTTGTGGAGAGAGTCCATCCTTAGTTGTGTGAGACGTCGCTGCAGTGCTGTCTGCAGTGGCTACCGACCCAGCCCCAGCAGCCATGCATCCTTGGCACTCCGCATTGACGGCCACTGACATCTTTGTCATTCTGCTGGGTGTCAAATACAACCTCTTCCTTGTTTTAATCCACTTTCCCATTTTAGATGGCTGGAGAGAGTCTACAGAAAGGGAATAATTTAGTCAGGCCCTGGGGAGTTCACTTGGAAGTTAGTTCTAATTTTTTTCTTTTTTTAAATTTCAGAATATTACGGAGGTACAAATATTTTGGTTACATATATTGCTTTTGCACCGTCTAAGCCAGAGCTACAAGCGTGCCCATCCCCCAGTGTGCCCCTCACCCATTAGTTGTGAATTTACCCATCCCCTCCTCCCCCTCCCATTGCCCAGCACCTGATGAATATTACTTCCATGTGTGCACCTACACGTTAATCGGTTAATACCAATTTGATGGTGAGTACATGTGGTGCTTGTTTTTCCATTCTTGTGATATTTCACTTAGTAGAATGGGCTCCAGCTCTATCTAGGATAATACAAGAGGTGCTAGATCACCACTGTTTTTCTGGCTGAGTAGAACTCCATGGTATACATATACCACATTTTATTAATTCGCTCATGTATTGATGGGCACATGGGTTGTTTCTACATCTTTGCAATTGTGGATTGTGCTGCTATAAACATTCTAGTGCAGATGTCTTTTTTATAGAATGCCTTTTTTTCCCTTGGGTAAATACCCAGTAGTGGGATTGCTGGATCGAATGGTGGTTCTACTTTTAGTTCTTTGAGGTATCTCCATACTACTTTGTACTAGTTTGTACTGGTTGTACTAGTTTGCAGTCCCACCAGCAGTGTATGAGTGTTCCTATCTCTCCGCATCCATGCCAGCATTTGTTGTTTTGGGACTTTTTGATAAAAACCATTCTCGCTAGAGATAAGTGATATCTCATTGTAGTTTTGATTTGCCTTTCCCTACTGATTAGAGATGTTGAGCAATTTTTTATATGTTTGCTGGCATCATTTTTTTTTTCTTTTCCAAATAATGTGGCACTACTTCTAGACAAGAGAGGTGGAGCTGTTCGCCTCAAGGGAATACCATCCCAAAGTGGGCCGTGCCCCAATTTACACCCGGCAGGGGCAGCGAGGGCCTGGCTCCCTGCATCTTTGCCAACACTTCAATTTCGTCAATTTGATGGGAAAAATAGTATTTCATCATGGTTTCTGTTTGAATTTCCCTGATGTCAAGGAAGTTAAGCATATTTTTTCCTGTGTTTATGAAGCTTTAGGGGTGAATTGCCTATTTATATTCTTTGTTCATTTTCCCAGCGGACATTGTCCTTATTTATGAAGACCTCTGCTAAGCAATTTTATTTAAAAATTGCTCTTTCATCCCTTACTCATTCCTTAAAAAACAAAACAAAAAGAGGGCAGAGGCCCAGAGAGCCAGGCTAAGCTCGGGAGAAGCTGCTGCCCGACCTGGGGGTGTCTGCTCAGGTCCAACCATGCTGGGCAGCCTCCAGCTGCTACATTTTGAGAAACTGAGGCTGGCAGTGGCCTGCAAACAGGAGCATACACTGGGGTCAGCCGCTGCCCACCTGGTGGGATTAGAGGGCCTTGGCAGCCACCCTGATAACACAGGTGCCCCCAATTCCCCATCACCACGTCCAGCCCCTGGAGGGCAGAGGGCACAGGAGGGATCAAGTGGCACAGCCCCTATCATTTTACTGTGGGGGCCAAGACCCAGAGAAGTCAAGCGACACCCAAGGTCACACAGGAGTGGGTGGCTGAGCTGGGGCTCCGGTGCAGAAGGCAGGGCTGGCGTGACCCATCCTAACCCTCTGGCTCCAGTCAGTGGCTCGGAGGGCTCGCAGCCCAATCAGGGCTGATTGGAGCGGTGTGTGGCTGCAGGTATTTAGCGAGCAGGCGGGCCGGCGGCGTCACGCTTGTGCTAGTCAGCTGCGGCTGCCTGTATGATCTCTTCTGCCGACATCACCAGCGAAACCTCGACCTCCTCGACTTCCATGGCAGGATCATCCGGGTCTCCTGGGTCTGAAAAGCCAGGTGAGCAAGAGGAGACCCTCCCTCACCCCTGCAAGCACATTCCTGGGTTGTCCTGGACCCTGCCCCCCACCCCTCCTTATTCTCTCCCAGCCTGGCCCCGGCACCCGCCCTGGAAGCTGCTGAGTTCAATAGCCCAGCCCATTTGGCAGAAAAGCTGATGCCATAGGTAGCAGGGGCCAGGGAGGGCCAGGGGGCGGGGACTGCCCCACCCCAGGAAAGAGAGTGAGCAGAGCCGGGCCTGGCAGTGGGAGCCTGTTTCCTTCCAGGGCAGGGCTGTAGCTGCAGGGCATCTAGTTGGAGGGGCTGGGGCCAGGGGCGCTTGCTGCAGGGCTGGGCATCCCACTGTGCAATCAACAAGCGATTCAGGGGCTCTCTGGATATGAGTGTCCACTGAGGCAAGCTGGACCCAGTTCGTTCCCTTGAAGAGCTCCCAGTCTGACCGGGAAGCCTACCTCATTAGCAGATGCCACTAAACATGATCTGTGCTTTAATGGCGATAACCAGAGAGCTGTAGGAGCCAAGAGGGGGCCCCCGGCCCACCGTGGGGGGAGGTTGCTTCCAGGTGGAGGTGAGCCCTGAAAGGATGGGTAATCCTCACCTAGGGGAAGTGTTCTCAATGTTTGCAAAGGCTCCAGGGGTGGGGGAGGAGGGGTCCAGGTGCCAAGGCTACAAGGACAGAGTTGCTCACTCTTGATTGGGAAGCCAGGGAAGGTGTCCAGATCAAGGTACTTTTTGAGCCTTGAAGGACAAATGAAAGCAGCCTGGGTGACCAAGGCGGAGAGGGGCGTCCCAGGCAGGGAGCACAGTAAGGGCCAGGGCGCAGAGGCGAGCATGCCAGCGGTGAGACTGGGCTCTGCCTAGGAGCAGTGTTGGCGGGAGCAGTGGGAGGGGGCGGGGCAGTCAGACCTGGCCTCCAAGGTGGTCTGCAAGTGGGTGGGGAGCCATGGAGGGCCTCCAGCAGCGAGGTGGGGGATGTGCAGTGAGGAGAATGCATCAGAAGGGAAAGCAGTAGCAGGAGGAGGCTGGAGTTCTGGGGACTCAGCTTATGGAGAAGCGTAGAGTGGATGTGCTGGGGAAGGGGGCAGAGAATGGCTCCTGGGTTCTTGCTTGGATGTCTGGGTAAGTAGGGGGCAGTGGTGGGGGGCATTCTTAGGACAGAAGATGGTGGGCAGGTTTGGGGGAGGAAGGGGAGAACATATACATCCTGGTATACAGCAGGCATTGACTAACTGCTGAATGAGGGGCTAAAGAGGGAGGGGACAGGCCCAGGGGCAGACCCTTGGGAGTGGCTCTCTGGGATGGGCATGGTTTGGGGGAGGCAGGGGAGGGCTTGCAGCTGCCACCTGGGGTCAGGCCGAGGGCCTCTTGGGAAACGCTGTAACACTGCAGCTGGGAGGGCTCAGACCTAGGGCCCCTCCCCACTGTACTCCCAGATGGCAAGACCGAGACCCAGAGGGGAGAGTGAAACTCCCGAGGTCCTGAGAGTGACCCAGGCCTCCGCCAACTCACAGGCTTTGGCCCCAAAATGAATGTTCCCAGGCACTGGGCTCTTCCTGGCCAGGCAGCAGAAGGGGTTGGATTGAATTAGGTCTCTTCATAATTTTGCTCTAGATCTAGGGTTTCAGGTGGGTCTTTTTCCTCTTCGAAAAAAATATGTTGCAACCAATATTTCTTTGTAAGTCTTTAAATTCTGCAAATTGATCAGAAACCACCATTTCCAATTACCACTTTTACATCCTGTTTCATATTTAAATCCCTTTTATGCACCTGGTGGTGACTGACACTTTCTCCTGCTTCTGCCCCCAACCTGTTGGTCCTATTCACCCTTGAAACATGTTAAAAATAACAGCTCATTGGGAAATAATTCACAAACCATACAATTTACCCATTTAGAGTATTTCAGAGTTGCGTATCTATCTTCACAACCAATTTTAGAATATTGTCATCACCTTTGTCAACACCCGTGCCCATCAGCTGTCCCTCCACCTCCCCACCTGCAGCCCCGGGGCAACACCGGCCTGCTTTCTGCATCTGTGGATTTGCTCAGTGTGGACACTTCATATAAATGAAACTGTACAATACATGGCTTTTGTGACTGGCTTTTCCACTTCGCGCGTTTTTCGGGTTCATCCTTCTGGTAGCATTCTTCCTTCATCCCTTTTTATGGCTAAATAATCCGTCGAATGGATATATGGCATTTTGTTGATCATTCATCTGTCATTCATCATGGACATTTCAGTTGTCCCCACCTTTTGGCTATTACGGTTAAAGCTGCTGTGAACATTCATGTACAAATTTTTGTGTGGACATGTTTCCATTTCTCTTGGGTATATTCCTAGGAGTGAAATTCTTTCATAACTTTTTATTATGAGAACTTTCAAACAGATGCAAAAGAATGTCATGTGACTCTGTCCCCTGCACCCGTCATGCAACTTCAACGATGTCACCAGCTCCGGGCTACTCTTGTTTCATCAACTGGGTTATTTCAAAGCAAATACTGGACTTATCTTTTCATCTGTAAATAGCCCAGTATTTAGCAGATAAGAATCTTTTAAAAAGTAGTTGCAATACCATTAGCACACCTGAAACAATTGATATTATCCTTAATACCATCCAATATTTCTTCCCAGTGTTCACACTTAGCTGGTTGCCTCCCCCACCCACCCCGTTGGATTGTCCAAGTCCTGCTCTAAGTCTGAGCAGGGAGTCTCGCTGCATTTGGTTGAGAGGTTTCCTAAGTATCTTCCATCCAGAGGGTACCCCTCCTACTTTTCTTTCCCTCCTATTTATTCATAGAAGAAAGAAGTGGTGTGTCCTGGGGAGTCCCTCACAGGCTGGGTTCTGCTGAGACCGGCTCACAGAGGCCCTGCAGGTCCTGTGGACTGGTAGGTAGATCTCGACAAGGGTGGGGAAACTCTTCATGTCGGAAGGCCTCATTAACTTAGCTGTAATCAAATAAGGCCACATTCAAGAAACTTCAATTAGATACATTTAAAAATGTACATTATTTTGTAAAAATCTAACTACTATGTACTTAATAATTTCAAAAAATGAAAACTTTGTTAATTTTAAAGTTAACTTTTTTTTTTTCATTTCAGGATATTATGGGGGTATAGATATTTAGGTTACGTATGTTGCCCTTACACCCCCCACCCCAAGCCCGAGTTTCAAGTGTGTCCATCCCTTGGATGGTGTGCATCACATTCTTTGTGTATGCATATACCCATCCCCTCCTCCCCCCTCCTCCCTGCCCAACATCCAATAGATGTTGTTATTATATGTGCACTTATATGTTGATCAGTTAATACCAATTTGTTGGTGAGTACATGTGGTGCTCGTTTTTCCATTCTTGGGATACTTCACTTAGTAGAATGGGTTCCAGCTCTATCGAGGAGAATACAAGAGGTGCTATATCACCATTGTTTCTTAAAGCTGAATAGTATTCCGTGGTATACATATACCACATTTTATGAATCCACTCATGTATTGATGGACACTTAGGTTGTTCCACATCTTTGTAGTTGTGAATTGTGCTACTATAAACATTTGGGTGCAGGTGTCTTTTTTATAGAGTGTCATTTGAACTTTTGGGTAGATGCCCAGTAATGGGATTGTTGGATCGAATGGTACTTCTACTTGTATCTCTTTAAGGTATCTCCATATGGCTTTCCACAGAGGTTGCACCAGTTTGCAGTC